TTACATTATATTAGCTGTGAATTTACTAATAAAAATATGGACTTTTATTATTGCATAACACCCAAATAAGTAATGTCACTTTAACCAATAGTTATTCCCACTTGCGCAAATTTTGTTACCAAGTCTGCTTATCATTTTCAATCTTTTGTAAAACAGGGTTAAGTCTTTCCAATAATCTTTCTCCTGCAAGGTGTTAGTCTTTCTCCTAGGATTTGCTTCCAGACTGTTCTCGAATAGATAGATTTGAATACATTTTTCTGAAAGGTTGTCACAACGCATTCATACTCCAAACTCCATACTCAATAGATGCAAGTCAGTGTGAAGAAGTTGAGTTGCCATTATTCATGAAATTTTTTCGAAGCTATATGTAGATGGATCAAAAAAATTTCTTCTGAACTTACTAATTTTGTTATTATTTCATAAACTATTTCATCGACGAATCAGATTTTTCATTCCGTAATACCGTAACTTGGTAAAAATAAAAAAAGACACATGGATAATATTCTATTAAAATTGGGGTACGGATCATATGATTTATTATGTCTCGTAACCCACTTTTAATAGATCACCTCCCACATATCATGTGACTATTACAATGGCACAGCCCACTCGTAGAACCAAAGATCAAATATTATTTGTCAAATGATATTTCCTAAAGAAAGGTATTGAAAGAGATTCGGCGAAATTTGCAGAGACGCCAACATTGTATTTTCAAAAACAAATAAAAAAAAAGATGTGCAATTTTTTATCCGAATGGAATATAACTTTAAAAGTAAATTTAATCTATTCTTTAATCGGAATTCCACGGAATTCGGTAAGATAATCGGCAAACCTTAATTATTTAGCGTTCATAAAAAAAAAATCATTGGCAAAGGTTTTTTTTCTTCACTTATCATTAAATTTCCTTTTTTGAGTTTTTTTGGGACAAGAAAATTTAAATTTAACTAATTTAATAAATTTTAATGCAGTTTTCAAAAATTCCTATTTGTCACCTTATTTGTCACATGGTTAATTTTGGCCAAGTTCTATAATGCGAAAAATAAGGATAACTTTCTAATTCGAAATTCGAAACGACACAATGCTTTTTAATTGCGGCAAGGATTCGCATTCTTTAATAAAGTTTGGATATCAAACAAATCTTTTAAGAAAACTTGGAATTTTGGTAATTCATCCTTGGATGTCTCCAAATTTATAAATTCCAGGAAAAAAGTTCATCATGAGGGTTTCACGTGTCGCTCGATTTATCTCAGTAGAAATGTTTCGTTTCTAATTTATTTCCTAATCAACTAAATAGTTCATTGTTTATAGGATTTTCTTTCTAAATAGGAAAATAATTCAGCGCATTCATGTATTCCTGGTCCTTGGTCGAGGAATCAAAATTGTTCGGTCTCGTGAACTCCGGAACGACAAAGTTCAATCTTGATAATTTAAATATTCATATTAGATAAAGCAAATAATTTTTTTTTTTGTAGTTGTTAGTCTCGATTGGTGTTATTATCTGATTTACTGGTGGCAACCTTAGAAATTAATAAATAGGAGCCTCATTTCATTTAAATCCTTTTCTATCTCGTAAAAGTTCTATTCAACGATACTATCATCATCATCATTATCTAAAAAAGGGTTTAATATACAGCTTATACACACAAAAGAGTATATTCGCTTATGTATTAGTTAAAATACTATAAGGTTCGTAGCGTAAATTTGAAGTTGGAAAATATATGGAACTAGTTTGAACGGAACAAAGGTAAAGTTGGTAAGTTGGTTATGTGAGTATCATAGCAAATGAGTTCCGTTAAGGAGTTGGGTAAAGTTGGTAGGCTGGCTAATTGAGTATTACTACAGTCAAGTATCATTGTAAATAATAACTTTTGTTTCAGTATTCGATTATAATGGTTTTATTTTATTCGACTAATTCAAATTAAAATTTTGAGATAATTACTCATGTGTTTCATTATTCGATTCTAATGAATCTACTATATTCAATTGATTTAAATAATCAGTTGAGATTGTTCAGACAATTTTAGATTTGATTCTTCATTCATTGATCATTTCCTAATATATTTGTTTTTTTAAGCATACTTGTAATACATCAACTTATAAATATTTAAACAAAATATTGACTAACCTTCTTTTGAACTCGCCATTTAACTGTTATTATATGCAAATAACCTGTTACAAAGGATGAATAAGGTTTTATATATAAAGCTTAGCGGTACGTTTTATTAAAAAATGGATCAATGTTACCAGTAAGAAAGGTAATTTAAACAAAATATTTATTTAATTAAAAACCGACCGATTGCAACCAATTTAAAAATTTTATAACCATTTTTCCTACTATCTTTGTCAAAATTTAATTTAATATTCTTGTGCAACTCCTGTGATCAAAATATTACCCAAGATTTTTTGTAAACTCATAATACTTAAAATATTCTAGCGTTGTTAAGTCCGGCGACTCAATTTTTGATCGTGTCACCATGCATAGACCATTATTATCCTTGGACTAATTACACTGTTCCAGCTAAGTTAATATATAAATAAAAAAAGTTTGTTGACCAATGAAAAAGTATAATTAAACAAGAATTAAGTTTTGATGATATTCATTCTCATTCTCAAGCAATTTCAAAACGTTAATAGTAAAATTCAATATAATTACATTCCACAAGAGTTTGCTCAAATAAAAATTCAAATTGAACCAAAAAGCGATCTCTATAGAAAATCAAATATCAGGGATAAAGAAAAAATTAAAGGTGAGATAAAGAAATGCGTATGAGATTGACTTTCTGACAAAATTTGGAAATTTAAATCCCAGGGGAAGAATGGGGATATTAAATCAGAAACCACTTTGATCATATTGAAAATATTGAAAATAGATGGAACTGAATCCATATTGAGACCAAAATAAATAAATCCCACCCAAAACATTGATACACTTATTAAGATGAAGATTATCCATAAGAACATCTCATTTGTAATGCTATCACGATTTTGAAATAGTAAAATCAAAACTAAAGGTATCTTGAAATATATAGATAATACATATAGTGAGTTGAAAATAGCAATCAACATGTTATAATAATAAATTATTTCTTCTTTTTTTTTTAGTTTGAATGATTTCTTTAATCATTTGCAATAATTTCGTAATTATGAAATTTGTGGAATCAAAAACACTATGACACATAATAAGTATCTTCATGGTAAAATTAGGATGTATATTGCTTTCAAGAACCAAAAATGAGTAAAATACTATAAACATTAAATATATACGTATGAAAATAGTTGTAAAATGGAAAACAATTTTTGTGAATGGTTTGTCCTTTAATTCGGGTGAGGTAGTAAGATAAATAAACAATGGTACAAGTACTGATATGATAGAATCAAGTAAGTCATCTCCATGATATGTTTCGACATCGTTGATGGGTGCCGTTTTAGAGATTTCAATAAACAGGTTGAAGATGAAATATGATGAAATTATTTTCATTATTTACAGTAAGCAAAATTTTGAATTCTTCATCAATTACTATTACATTATAAAGTTTTCTATCGTTATTGTAAATGACCAAATTTATTCAATATGCAGCAGTTACACGGTATTGCGAAGGTCAGATGTATTATTGACATACAACACGTGACCATACATTGGTCCCCCATACATATATACCATACCCATGATCGACAGACATTTACAATTATGCGATTGTGATTCTCTTTAAAGACGTATCGGTAATTGATTTTCAATAATTTTTAAATAACGGAAAAAAAAGATTGAAAATATGCTGTACTAATTACTTACCGTTACCAAATTTGTAATTTCTTTTGTATTTTTTAAATTCTTCGAAATTTTTAAGCAATTTGAATTACCTTCAAGATTTTGTGAACCTATCGACAAAGGATGTTAGGGATTTTCTTAATTGAAACGTTAGAATTTGTAAATAATTACATTTCATTTTTTTTTTTAACAAAGAACCATTTTCGCCAAATGAAGATAAATTAGTCGTCCTTTATAGTGATAGAAATTTTGGGTGGGATCAAATTGTTAAGCTTCTTAATAACATAATATAGAACGTCAATTCAAATTAAGAAAAAACAACCAACGCTTGTCAAAAGGATTTATCCGTGTCAAAACCTTTACGTTGCCAATCTCCAAGAGCTGTCGTTGGCATCGATGCCGCTTTATCAAGGTAAAATTGCATTTTTTATCGCTTATTTTAGAAATTTTAAAATATTTTTACCGAGAGTGTATTTTTTTTAAAGATCCGTTATGTTTAACGGAATTTTTTAAGAGAGGTGGAAATCAGAAAACCATTATTATTAGATATTATCATTATTTAATCTACAAATTGAATTTAATAAAATAAAATAAAATTTACCTATAAATTAGCTAAATTTTTTTATTAATTTGTTTTGAATTAGTAAAAAAGTTTATTTTTATTTATTTTTTTTAAGAAATAAGCTTTTCTTATTTAGAATCTAAGTGTAAGTATTATAACAGATTTCTTTGTATATTTTATTTTTAAATTATAATAAAAAAAAATAAATAAAATTAATCAAACTTTTTAAAATTTAAATAAATAAATTAGTATATTGACTTATAATAATTTCTTAGTCAAATTGAATTTTAGGCTAATTAGTATTATTAATATATTTAATATTTATAAAGTAATTAATCATTTTATAATTATTCTGTTTGAAAATAAAATTCACTTATACTTATTAAATTTGAGTACTATCCCTTGCAACTTATTTATATTGTGCTAAGCTTGGCCAAAGGTAACGTAACTTCGCATAAGTTGCTTGTGTCCTTTAGAAAATAATTTTAACATGACATGACTTCTTATAAATAGGGTTGCCTACAAAATTCCACGACTTTTCTTCATTTTTTTATCCTAATTCGCCATTAATATTCCCTTCACACTCTTTTTAATCTTACGTTTATCACATAAATAACACGTTTATTCATTTTTGACTTTATAACTTTAATTTTAATAGTAATATTAATGAAAATGGTTTCTCTGAAATTAATTTCTTTAATTGCTCTTGTTACATTCCTTGTAACTTTAATTGAATCTGCACCAGCTAAAACCTGTCCATTTGCAATTAAGTATATAAATGAACCTCTTAATACCTATATTGTTACACTCAAAACGCCTTCCAATCATTATGAAGCTGTCAATGCTGAAATAAAACATTTTAATTTATTAAAAGAATGCGCAGACAAAAAAATTTCAAACATATTAAATTTATCTAATCTTGTTAATAAAGTTCTTGATTCAATTCGAAAAGATCCAAAGAACATTTTAAATTTCAGTGTCAAAGGACTTAGTGTATATTCAGGAAAATTTACCGATAGTTTTGTCGAGAAACATCTATTCAAGCTACCAGAAAGATATTAAATGATGATAAATTTTCTCGTAATGAAAAAGTTTTTAAATCACAAGATGATGACAAAACAAGTTTAAAAGTAAGTTTAAAATAATACTATCAAATATTCGAATTTAAATAATATGGTTTAATTTTATTTTATTTTATCAATTCAGAATCTTGATCGAGTCGATGAAAGGAAATTTACATTAGATGGAAAATATAAATCCCCGATAGAAAGTGCCAAGGAGCGAATGTTTATATTCTTGATACGTAAGTTAACGAATATGTGGCCCAGTTATCATTAAATTTCTATTATTTTGAATTATTTTCCTTAGAGGAATTAATACCGGTCATTTAGATTTTGAAGGAAGAGCTGAATTCGCTGCTGCTGTTTGTACTGTATGTGAAAAGTAGACGATAACGGGTGAGTATCTTATAATAAATTCATTTGTAAAATACAAATGTTACTTAATAAAATTTAACTCATTCGAAACAAATTAATCCATCGAATATAGTCATGGAACAATGGTTGCCGAAATTGTAAGTACAAAACAATTCTTTGTGATTTAAAAATATTGATATATGATTTGTTTGTATATAAATTTTTAAAATTTTTCTTTTATAATATAGGTTGGTGGTAGCAATTTTGGTATTGCCAAATTAGTGAAATTAATTACAATCAAAGTATTAAATGCTCAAGGTTCAGGTTTCTTGTTGAACATATTATGGAAATAAACTTTGTTGTTCAAGAGCATGAGAAATCTCAGAACAAGAAAACTATCATAAAGTACGTATAAAATTAAAGGATGTTCTATTACAAAAATTATATTAATTAATTAATAATGTTCATTTTTATTTATTTATTTAAAATTTATTTGTATAGTATGTCCTTAGGCTTTGGTCAACGAGTAGAAGAAGTCGATCGCGCAGTTAAGAACGCACATTATCGTGGTAGCAGCTGCTGGCAATGAACATCAAAATAAAATATAATTAATAATAATAATAATAATAACTCAGCTTTGTTAATTCTTCCAGTTGGTTTACAAACAGCCAGTGGAATAAGTTTTTCTTCTCCTCATGTTGCTGGTGCATTTGCTTGTATCATCGCAAACAAAAATTTAACTCCTGATCAAGCATAAAAAACTTTTTGACCAATCTACAAAAAATGCTGTTGAAGGATATGATACTGATACTCCTAATAGATTTTTATTTGTTAAAAGCTCGGGAGCAGTAAAACAATAGAAATTTAATCATCTCCTAAATAGATAGATATAGTAATAAAATACAAATTTTCGGATGTATGTTTCGAGTTTTTTTTGGCTAAAAAATAAAGCTCATGATAATTTTTAAGTAAATTTGTGAAAATTAACAACCCCTTTTTCACATTTTTATTAATAAATGTAAAGATTTCTTCGATAAAAATTATTGGACATGGATCATAAAACACTTGCAACATACAGTACCGTGTTAGGAAAAAATATCCTTTTGATATTATTTCCTAGTAAGTAGTGAGATTATCTAATCGTTCGTAAAGAATGATACTCACTCTTTCGTTTTAATCGGATCAACTAATCGAGTAACGCCCACCTTCCCATCCGGTTTAACGAATCCAGGTCCTTTAAATAAGAATTTTTCAACAATTTTTTTTCGTTGAATTTCGTTATATATAAACGTGTTTGGCGATATTTTTTTTATTTGAATGCACAATCGCGATGATTACAATTGAATGTGATTTTGCGATTTGTATTTAGTTGATTAACAATTAAATCAATTAAATTTAAAAATCAACAATAATCCTATTATATTTATGAAAATAAAAAAAATGTTACTATTTTGATTAAAAAGATATTTCTATTTTAACTCACCTGAAGATTTTTTTTTTTAAATTGTATTTTTTTCGTCGCAAAATAATAAAAATCGAAAATTTCTAAAAAAAAAAAAAAAAAAAAAAAATGCTTTTTTTCTCGCGGGTTTCAATTAATCAAGCCATTTCAAGTTGTAATAATCCACTGATTTATGAAATACATTCAGTGCTACGAAGCTTCATCGACAGTTAAAACTACACATTAATTAGAATGAAAATAGATCGAGGAAAAAAGATTGAGGATAAGTCATTATTGAACTAGAACTAAAAAAATTAAGAAGAGAATTCACTACAATAGTGTCGAAAATCGAAGGATGCGTAACATATATGTGAGAGAATACTATCACTAACGAAAAGTGTGATGCGAAATAACAGCTTTGAAGCGGAACTCTTTCGAAAACAAAAATAAAATTACAGTTGTAACGAATGAAGAGTGCTCATAAGTGTCACAATTAGGTAAAATGACTGCGCCTGCAGATAGATTTCTCTAATTTTGTCTATATCATAAAAATGGACATCCCATAAAATATTATTTCCCTGTAGGGTTTACGAATAATTTTAAAAGGGTAATAACTATTCTATTAATTTTTACAGCCAATACAGCGTTAATATAGATTAAATAATATTTAAAATTCTAAAATAAAAATGTATAATCATAAATCTATTTAGAAGATGAATGATGTTTAAAATTTAAAATATTTTTGGGACCATTTCGAAGAGTATCTAAAGGCAATCCATCAAGGACAGGTAATCCATATATATTTATAATTGGTTTGGCTGCGCATCCTTCTAATATTTCAAACTTTTTACAATTATGGAAGCTTCATTTAGATCGGATGGTGTTTTAAGTACGACAATATAGGTATCAAGAGGTTCTTTTAAATGATCAAATTTTGACGAAAGAAAATAATTTCAAAGGCACCATTTTTTTAAAAAATTATTAGAAGTTCTAGATATGTTAGATTCTAAAGGTGAAGGGTTTCTAAAAATTGATGATGTATTAAGGATAATATTTGAAGAGTTGTGAATATAAATAACTCTTATTTTTAAAATTATTTTCATATTACGCACATATAAAAAAAAAAATTTTTTTTATATTGGCATAAGCTGTCACAAAGAATTTATTTGGAAATGTAATTAAGTACATAAATCTAAAATAACGGTACTTTGATGTACGACAATTAAATCTCAAAAAAAAAATTTCTTATTTGTACTGATTTAAAAATTTAAAATTCATTTTTTATAATGAATTATTTATTATCTTGTTATGAATACAATTAGTCTTTCGTTCAGCATTGTGACGATTACATTGTTTCATGATAATTATATTATATTTGTGTAACGCGACGCGGTTTCATATTTAAATATTTTGTCTAAAAATATAACCATTAAAATCTATCCATTTTACGTGCAATTCCGTGGAGTCTAATCTTAAACGCTACTATCAGAAGATAACACTTTGTAATTAGAACGCTAGTGATTTGTTTGAAGGTTCATTGGCCTTTGAGTTGGGTTTATGTTTCTAGCATAGGGATTGGAATCGATTCTACCAAAATTCGCATTAATAGAAAATATAATAAAAAAAATTGAATGGCGCAGTATGTCTTAAAATATATTTTTCTATCGCTATTTGAGAAAATTAAAAATAAAACCATATAAAAAATAAAAAAAATTACTTATTCCTTCCGAAGTGTTTTAATTCGAAAGAGAAAACTCTGAAATAAATCTTCTCAAGACTTACCTTAGAGAAAAAAGATATCAGTTAAAAAAAAAAAATATATATATATATATAATTCGATTTCTGCGGACGAAAAGCGAAAGAACGCGAAAATAGTAAAAAAAAAAAAAAAATAGTAATATATATCTAATTCTAATTTACATAAATTAAAAATTTCGGAAAAATGTAAATTTTTTAAATTTTTTTTGGTAAATAATATTTTTTTTTGAAAGTAAAATTGATTACAAGCCCAAAAACCTGCCTTAACTAAATTAACTCAGTTACATTTTTGGTATTTTCCGCGAATTTATGATTAAGAACCGTGCTTTTTCGACGAATGATCCTGCAGGATTTGTTAGTTCTTTTCTCTAAAATGATTTCCGTTGCTCTTTAATCAATTCGTTGATTTATTGATCCTGTCACAGCTAATATACTGTGAAATTTATTTGTGACGGTTATGAAAATTTACAAAAATAATTTTGCAACAACTAATTAGTTCATATTTAAGCAATGTTAAACATGTATTAACTAGAAAATCTGAAATTATTCGTTCTTTTATTAAATTATTTATTTATCTATTCATTTATTTAATTACTACTGTGTGTTTATTTATTAAATGAGGGTAAGTTTAACGGTATTTGCAACATTCTAATAACGAGATTACTATACAGACCTATACCAATTATTGCCAAGTATTAGTACAAGTATTAAAAATGTCGGTCACGCATTTTTTCAATAGAATGTGTAGAATATGACATTAAATTGCAAAAGTCAAACGTCTTTACTGACTAATACGACCAATACTGATTTTATGAGAAAATTTTAAATTTTTATGGTTTTTCTGGGCCTGAACCTTTAACAAATAAAAATTTATTAGGAGTATCACTATCGATACCTTTGACGGTCTTTTGTGTGGAACGTTCATAAAGTTTTTTAGCTGCTTGGTCAGGAGTCAAATCTTCCTTGGCGATTATACAAGCGATGGCACCGGCAACATGAGGGGCGGAAAAACTTGTACCACTTGCCGTTTGAGAACCAACTGGTAAAAAATGCAAATCTGATTCAATATCTCGTCCTATGAAACAATAGGAAATTATTTAATTATTATTGTTATTATTATTTTTTTTTTTTAAAAAAAAAATTAATAAAGTTTACCAGGTGCAAAAATATCAACACATTTTCCAAAGTTAGAAAAACTTGTAATTTCATCATTTTTAAGTTCAGTCGCACCAACAGTTATTGCTTCTTTAGTAGCGGATGGAGAAAAATTGCAAGCATTTTGAGCATCGTTGCCAGCAGCTACAACTGAAATAATTCCTTGATTATGAGCGTTCTTGATTGTGAGATCAACAATTGGCACTAATTTAGTAAATCCTAAGGACATGCTGTTTTTTTTTTAAAAAACATAAAATAAAGAGCATTAATAATAAATTATAATCACTAAAAGTACTTTCTTTAATTTCACATACTTGATGATAGTTTTCTCATTCTCAGATGCAAAATGTTCATGAATTACAAACTGTATTGCCAAAAGTAGGTCTAACATGAAACCTGTACCTTTTGAATTTAATACTTTGACTGCAAATAATTTCACTAATTTTGCGATACCAAATTTTTTACCACCAATCTATATAACAAAAAAAATATAAAGCAATCACTTTTATTTTTAAATTCACTGATTAATTTAGTTATTTTATACTTACAATTCCAGCAACCATCGTTCCATGACTATTTAATGAATGTTATTGAAATACGTTAAAGAAAAATGTTTATTTACAATTGATTTATTAATAAGTACTCACCCGTTATCGTCTACTTTTTTACATCCATCACAAAAAGCAGCAGCAAATTTAGCTCTTCCACCAAAATCAAGATGGAGAGTATTAATTCCTCTAAGGAAAAGAAAATTATAATCTAATTAATAAAAATTTGAATGATGACTGCGCCGCGTATCCTTTAATTGCCTTGACTTACGTGTCTAAAACATAAACATTAGCTCCTTTGCATTCGCCTTCGGGGGATTGATATTTTCCATCTAACGGAAAGTTTCTTTCATCAACACGATCAAGATTCTGTAATTGACAACAATAACAAAAAATAAATAAAATACATTTTTATTGTCTTAAAAAATTCGATCATTATTTATCTTTTTATTTAAACTTACTATTAAACTAGTTTTGTCACCAGATTGTAAAGTAGGAATACTGATTCTATCGATTTTTTTAAAAACATCATCATCTAATTTATATTTAATATCTTTTTGAATGATAAAAATTTCTTCTAATTTAGATAGATGATTATCGACAAAATTTTGAGTAAATCTTCCTGAATATATGATAAGTCCTTTGGTAGTAAAATTTAAAATTTTCTTGTCATCTTGTTTAACAACTGGAAGAAGTTCTATCAATCCATTAACAATTTCTTCAAGTAAATTTATAATTGTTTTGTCTCCACATTCTTTTAATATATCAAAATGTTTTTTCTCGACTTTTGCAGCCTCATTTGGATCGGAGGGTGATTTAAGCGCAACAATAAAGGTTTTAATTTCACTTCCATCATCTTTGAGATCTTCAGGGGAAAATGGACAAGTTTTAGCTGGCGCAGATTCAGCTAAAGTTACAAAGAATGCAACGAGAGCAATGAAAGTAAATAATTTCAAGCAGACCATTTTTATTATTTTAAAACGTCAAAAGAAGAAATAATATTTTAACGAAAGTGAAGATATTCCAAAGGGATTAATGGTGAATTAGGATAAAAATGGACTTGATGAAGAAATTGTGAATTATGGTAGTATTATTTATAAGAATTTTCCATTTCGCTACGCGCATGTCGAGAAATTATTTTTTTATGGTGCACAAAACAACATACGTAATATTTGCTATTTGGGAATGACGTTATGTCTAACGGTATGCATTACGAACACCAATTAGGATAATATGAACGAATTGCCGCCTATATAAATTCAAAAAAAAAAAAAATTTCAAATCCGTAATAACTTTTATTCTGAATGATTGGATTTTTATTATCTTCTTTCTTTTACATATGGGTAGTATTCTATTAAAATTGAGGTACGGATCATATGATTTACTATGTCTCGTAACCCACTTTTAATAGATCAGCTCCCATATATGTGAAATCGTGATGTAAATTTTTTTTCCCTTTTGCATGGACTACATTATAAAATGGATACAAACAGATCTTACTTACTATACAGCGCATGCAATGCATCTATGTCGACAAAGATATTCATTAGATTTTTCTATTTTTTCCCCACAAGTTAAAAATATATATATAATGTAACCTTTTATTCGTCTTTCCTGAATTGATTAATAATTCCTAAATATATATTTTTTTAAGATCTTGTGTTAACATAATTAAATTGCGCATAATTAGTTACAAACATTCTCGGTTAGGTCATTGTACCACCAATAAAAAGAATTGCGTTATAATTGAAACATGGTATACCCCGTTACTTTTAATATATATATTTTCCAAGTTTTGTAAATGTCTATTTTTAGTAAATTCATATATAGCTAGGCGGCTGTGAAATAATATTAATTGTTACGCTTCAAAAAAAAAAATCGTGTTAAAAATGCCGTGAACTGCAAAACTTTTTTGGCTCCAATGTAAAACTACTGCATTTACTGCGGAACTTAAATTATTGTGGCACATATTTTTTTGTCAAATACTTCCTATTTTTTTGTATGCAAAATTATAGAATTTGGTAATTTGAATAATTATTAATTGTTTTAAAATTAGTAAACATCCAATTTCATTCGTTTCGAAAAACAAAAAAGAAATAAAAGCTTCTTTATATGAAATTCCAAAACAAAACCATAATTTTGTATCAAATAAACGGCAAAGGATTGTTATCAATGGTACATTAATTAGATCCTCAGGAACAATATAAATGCAATGTTTCACCTTTTTTTGATGGAACTTGTGGTCGATTCAAACCAAAATAAAAAATAAAATTACCAAATTTGTCGTGTATTAACGTCAAATCAGATTCCTAAAACAATTTTTTTATTTGATGATGAACATAATGAGAGTTTTAATAAGTTAGGAATAAAAAAAAATTTTAAACCTTATGTCTGTGGATTTATAAATATGATAAATAAATTTCCAGTAAGCGAAAATTAATTCCTTCAATTCCAATTCCTTTCATTTTTTTTTTTTAAAAAAAAATTTCATAAAAAGAAAAGGTTGACCTTTTTCATTTCCTAAAAAATCATCTCAAAGATGACGACATCGTTAGCGGATTGGATTGATACGAAAATAAATGAAAAATACATTCATTCCTTCGATTATAGTGTATTCAGTAATGTTGAAAAGATTGGCCAGGGAGCGTTTGGTGTTGTAGAAAAAGCTAATTGGGAAGGTGGCGGAATTGATGTGGCATTAAAGAACATCAAAAAAGAATGTTTGGAGGAATTTCTTGAAGAGGTACGATAAAATGCAAGCGAATATTCAAGCAATTAGAATAATAAATTTTTTTTTGTCGCTTTAAAAAAAATAAAGGTAAATAATTTAAAAGAAGCTGGTAGTCATCCGAATATAAATCAATTTCTCGGAGTTACAAAAGGTAAATTATAGTTCAATAAATTCCGCTATTTTGCATGTTTAATAACGACAATTTTTTTTTTTTTTGCTTATTTAAAAAAAAAATTAATAGATATTCAAAATGATCGGTACATAATGGTATTGCAGTATGCCAATCAAGGAACATTAAGACATTATTTACAAAATAATTTTGCTTCGCTTAATTGGGTTAACAAAATAGAAATGGCTTTTGATCTTGCATGTGGGTTGTTGTGCTTACATACCCGAGATATTGTTCACAGAGATTTGGTAAACCACCAATTTCAATATGATATAATTTGAATTTCAAATTCTTTGCTTTGAAATCTAAGATAAAAAAATTTTTTTCCCATTTTTTTTATAGCATGCAAAGAACATATTGGTTCACAAGAATGTGTTGATGATCTCTGACTTTGGATTATCCAAGCGATTGAATTCTGACTCGATTTATGGTGAACTTCGTGGAATGCCGGCATATGTTGATCCGCAATGTTTTAAAATCAAAAATTACCATAGAGATAAAAAATCAGACATTTATAGTTTGGGCGTTCTCTTGTGGGAATTAACTAGTGGATATCCTCCTTTTCGTAATTTTACTGATTCATCATACGAGATTTTCTTGAACAGTTATGATGGAAGAAGAGAAGAACCAATAGATGGCACACCTCCAGCTTATATTGATCTTTATAAGAAATGTTGGAAAGAAGAACCAAGTGAAAGACCAAATATCAAAGATGTTTTCAAAATATTGAAATCTTTACAACCTCACAATAATTCTGAAAATATAAATAATGAAAAGAAATCCGATATAGTGCAGTCAACGAATGATGAATTGTCTCGATCTGAAAACGGCTATATTGTCAGTAAGTATAAGTGTATTTATTATTTAATTCACGAAATAACGATAATTTATAAAAATTTCATATATTAATGTCGACTTATAGTGGTGCCAATTTCACTAATGTTACCAGATGAATTAAGCGGCGAGTCATCCGATATTAATCAAGAGGAATGTGACAATTCTTCAACGGTTGACACACAAAGTATCAACGAGAAGAAATTGGAATGTGCCAATTCGTCATCGATGGACATACAAAGCATCGACGAGCATGAAGATGAATTAATCAATTCGTCATCATTTGTTGAGTCACAAAGTGTGGATGATGAATGCAATAATTCGTCACCGGTTGTCATACAAAGTATCGACGAGAAGAAATTGGATTGCGGAAATTCGTCATTGATTGACACACACGAGCATGAAGAGGAATTATTCAACTCGTTGTCATCGGTTGATTCACAAAGCGTGGATGAAAATAAGGAGGAATGCGACAATTCGTCATTAGTTATTTTACAAAGTATTAATGAAACAAGTGCCGCATTATATGAGATCATTCAAAATTATGTAATATATAATCATGTCGGAGATTCAAAAAATTTTAATTTTACAAAGATTTTAAAAAATTTCTTAACAAAGTCACGAGATATCTTTGGTTTTCTTGTTGAAAATCCAAGCATACAACATTATGAATTAATGATTGGAGTATTTTATGAGATGGGGTTCGGAATTGAAAAAAATAAGACGAAAGCATTCGATTGGTATAAAAAAGCAGGTGATAAAGAGGATGTTTATGGACTTTATAAAGTTGGATATTATTATTTTGATGGATGGGGTGAAGCAGCTGGCGATGATGAACATTATAAGTTGGCATTTGAATTTTATGAAGCTGCCGCTAGTGGTGAATTAAATATAGCCATACATATGCTCGCATTTTTTTATGAATATGGTTTTCATGTACAAAAAGATTATGATGAAGCGTTTAAATTATATAAAAAAGCTGCTGAAAATGGATTCATCCCGTCTCAGGTAGAGTTATCAAGGTATTATTATTCCGGTAGAGGAACTCAAAAAGATAAAATGGAAGCTTTAAAATGGTATCAATTGTATCAAAAAAATGATGGATTAATTAATGTTTCTGATGAGATTAAAAAGATTGAAAGGAAAATGGTAAGATCATTTTTGATAATTATAATTTCTTGATAATTAAATTTATCATGAACATACATTAATCATTTATTTTTAATCAAATAGGAGAAACAAGAAGATGGAACTTATATTTATAAACGTTCAAAAAGCATTCTTAACGTTAGTCTATCTTGGTATAAAGATTGGTACCCGTAATTTTAACTTGATTATAATTGAACATCTTTATTTAAATCAATTGATATACCACTTTCTTTTGGTGGTTTTCTTGTGTACATATATTTATTATCCTATTTTTCATATGATTTATTTGTTTCGTTTACTTAATAAAATTTTTTTTTTCTCCGTGAAGTTACTTCAATGAATAAGAAACTTTTTCCTAATATACAATTTTGTACGAACTTTTCTCATGTATTAAATGCACAAGTTATGCATTTGTATAATATATTTTATCCAATTAAAACGAGTAATAATTAAGTAATCATAATCAAATAGTTTCTTTACATACCATCCTGTAAAGATTAACGAAATCTAAGGTGTAGATGCTTGAACGGATAATATGATTTACTATATTCCCTAGTAACGAATATATGCGCAATAGTGAGGAATTTTCATAATAAATTGAAATTTGTTTTGTGTACATTCATTTTATGTTTGTTCACTTGTTTAATTATACACCTAGCATCTCATTTAATCAACATATTTGTGGTTTGTGGTTTATTTAATATTTTTTTTCAACATATACACAAATTTCGTCTTTAAATTAAGTTTTTTTTAAAGAACCTTTTTAAGAAGTGTGGACAAATACAATGTAATTTTAAATAAACAATAATTTATGTATGTAGTACCAGATTATTCTTATGATCTACGGAACAAGCGACTCCGATTACGAAATTTGCTGCGCCATCTCGCTAATGATAATGGTAACCTGACAGTGCAGTTTGCAACCGAAACCGGTAAAAAAAAAAAGGATATTAGTTTGTGTAATATTGCACAAAATTTTATTTTAAATATTCTTTCGGAAATATTTTATAAAAAGGGTTTATCGCTCATTATTTTTTAAAAAAAATCTCTCTCAGATTTAAATATAAGTTTTTATTATTAGGCTATTAATTTCATACGTAAAAAAACAGAAGATAGTAACAAGATAACTTATATGGAGTCGGATACTAATGAACTTAATTCCGAAAGTTCTGAATTCAATTCTTATTTAGAAACTAAATGTTCAGATTGCAATAAATTGTACGTAGATGATAAATGGTGTAATGAATGTAATAGTAAAAAATTTCAAAAAAATTTTTGCAATTGGACTAGTAAAAATGAGTTTATTGACAGATTTATTCAAGAAGTTCAACTAAATGCTCAGAATAGAAAGCAAATATTAGAATGGATTCCATATAACAAATTAGTAAATATTGAGTACCTTGATAAAAGAGGATTTAGTACCATATATAAAGCCATTTGGTTGGATGGATTTATCATAAATTGGTCTAATGATAAAGATAAATGGATTAGAAAAAATAATTTTGAAGTAGCTCTTAAATGTTTAGATATGTCATCAAACCTAAACGAGGAATTTTTAAATGAGGTACAATACTAGTATTTTATAATTTATTTATTTATAATTATTTTACTGATATTATTTATTTATAGTTGAAAATTCATTATAAATGTTATATTTTATCAAATGACTATTTAATTCGAATATATGGATTTACCCAAGATCCAAATACTTTAAATTACATGGTAATAATGGATTATGCAGAGAATGACTTACGAAAAAATTTATTAAATATTGTTAAAGATAAATGGATAATTAAATTATTAAAATTGAGTAGTATTATTAGCGGACTTGATGTAATACATCAGCAAAATTTTATTCATTGTGATTTGTATCATGGTAATATTTTGTGTTCTAACCGTTCTAACCTATATATCGATGTGATTGAATATTGCAAACCTGTAGATTATTTTCAATCATCTAAAAATAATGATATTTATGGTGTTTTGCCATTTGTAGCACCTGAAGTTTTAAGAGGTCAGCCTTATACTTTAGCTAGTGATATATATAGTTTTTCTATGATTATGTGGGAATTTATATCTGGAATTCCTCCATTTGATAATAAAGCTCATGATTTTCAACTTAGCTTAGAAATTTGTAAAGGTAAACGCCCTAAAATTATTGAAAATATTCCACAATGTTATATTGCTTTAATGAAAAAATGTTGGGATAGTGATCCATTAAAAAGACCAACCGCATCAGAAATTATAAATATTATTGGAAATTGGTATCAAATTATTGACGGATATGAAACTTATAATTATGTAGATGAAAAATTATTAAATGATTTCATAGAATTTCAGAATGCGGATGGAATTTTAGAACAAGAACTACTTGATTCAAATACTTTTACTATCGCTATGTGTGAATATAAAGCAGATATACTCAATGAATGTTATGGGGTATGTACTGATTGTGATCATGCAAATACTTATTGGGATTATTGTCAGCTTTGCAATTCTAAACAATTCGAACAAGAATTTAAATGGACTGACAGAAATAAGAATATAGATAAATTTATTCGGGAAGCTCAATTAAAAGCCAGAAATTATCAAGAGATTTTAGAATGGGTTCCATATAATCGTTTAAGAAATATACAATATTTAACTCAAGGTGGATTCAGTACGATTTATAAGGCTATTTGGTTAGATGGTCCAATTAATAAACGGAATAATAATAAAGAGTGGCATAGAATTAATAACGATCTTAATGAGTATGATTATCTAAATGCAAGAAATAGTATTATTAAGGAATCATTTAATGAAATTGAAAATGAAATTGACATAAATGTAAGAAAAAAATATATTATATCACCTCTTAAGGAAAATGAAAAAATTGGATTTTACGTTGTATTAAAATATCTGACTGATTCCCAAAATATTGATGAAGAATTCTTAGATGAGGTAATTAACTATTATTATACTATTATTATACTTACAGTTTAGTATGACTAATTAATATTGATATTAAAACAAAATTTTAGTGGAAAAATTATTTGAAATTTTCATATTCTATGAAGAACAGTTATTCAACTTCTCTAGAATTATATGGAATAACTCAAGACCCCGAAACTTTGAATTATATAATCATTATGCAAGAAGCAATATGTGGAAATTTAGGATCAAATTTAGCAATTAAGAAATATAATCCAAATGATAAATTTCATAATTTGTATACTGTCGCAAAAGCACTTTCGGCATTGCATAAATGTGATTTAATTCATGGAGATCTTCATGGCGGTAACTTGCTTTTACATGATTCAGAACTTGTTTTTATAAGTGATCTTGGATTATGCCGACCTGTCAATAAGCAATCTGATGAAATTTACGGAGTACTTCCTTATGTTGCGCCAGAAGTTTTTAGTAGTAAAATGTATACTAAAGCTGCAGATATTTATTCATTTGGTATAATTATGTGGGAAATGACGTCTGGTATTCCTGCATTTCATAATATTGTCCATAATCTTCAACTTTCTTCAAGCATACGTCGTGGATTAAGGCCGATAACTGTTGAAGGAACGTTACCTGAATATGCAGAATTAATGAAAAAATGTTGGGATCCTGATCCTAGTCAAAGACCAACTGCTGATATCTTAGAAAATATTTTTGATGAATGGAGAAGAAAATATCCGTTTAATTACTTCAATAGAATTACTGTACCAGGTAAAATTATAAATTTTTACTTAATTATAAATAATCTAAAAACATCATACATAATTTAACGTGAAATATCTTTATTTTAGATAATAATGAATTTATCATTGAATATCAATCATCATACATAAGTGTAGAATTTAACTTGAAAAAAATTAACTCCGCTGAATCAATGGAAGACTCGTTATCTGAAATAATTAGTAATCCTACAGAGGTTTTGACAAAAGAAAATTCGAATGATTTAATGAGTTTATTAATAGAAGAAGAATTATCGATAGATCCAGAGTTTTATACAAAAATGATTAATTATTGTAGTAAAAAATTAAATGAAGTTCATAAAAATGATAACATAATGATCTATACAAAACAGATAATTGATTGTACTAAAAATTCAGAGACAAAGATGACTAAGTAGATTTTTAATAATCTTTATTATTTTCAATCCGAAAATATCAATAATATAAATATTTATGTTTAAGAACTTTCCGACAAAAATATGAAATTTAAAAAACATTATACTGTATTTTTTTTCATCATAATAAATAAATAAATATTTTGCTTAAAAATAAATTAATCATAAATTTTCTATTTTTTTGATTTTGTCAGAAACATCAGGATATCCGCCATTCTTATGAAATGATTTATACCATTTTAAAGCCTCTCCTTCGTTAATTTGAGTATAAAAGCCATGACTATAATGATATGCGACTTTAAATTGAGATGGTATAAATCCTTTTTCTGCTGAAGTTTTGTAAAGTTGAAATGCCTTGCTAATTAATACTTCCTTTTCGAGACTTATGGTAAACTCATAACAATTTGCGAGTTTATATAAAGCTATATTTGGTCCACAATCAACGATACTTTCAAAGTACTGTTTAGCTTTTAACATGCTTTTTTCGATTCCAAGACTATGAAAATAACATGCGCCAACTTCGTATTTACCGTGTTCGTCCTCATTTTTGCATGCGTTTAAAAACCATTTAAGCCCTTTCTGTTGATTTTTATCAGTTCCAAATCCTTCCTGATAAAATTTACCAACCATTATCTCGTAATGCTGTATTGTTGGATTATTAATTAAATAATTAAAAATTTCTTTTGATTCCGATTCATATCGTTTTAAAACATTTATAAAATTATAATTTTTGGTCCATCCGGTTTTATTATATTTTAAGTAACTTTGAATAATTACTTCTAATTTTTTCTTAGATTTAGTTGAAGGATTTGATGAATCTAAATTAATTTAATAATAGTTAGGAAAATACAATTTACCATAATAATTATCCAACAAATTAATTAAAAACTTAATTCACCATTTAGTTTTCCGATGGGAAGGTTTATAAGTGTTACACTATTAACGTAAGTAGCTGTTAATGAATTCGAGCTCTGCGTCGCCGATATATTCTTTTTAAATTTAGTTGTATTATTTGGTGAATCTAATTTAATATAATTGGTTAGGAAAATAAAATTTACCATAATAACTTATCCAACAAATAAATTTAAAATTAAATTCACCACTTTTCTTTTCGATGAGAAGGAAATTTACATTTTCCATACTAGTAACGTAAGTATCTGTTGATGAATTCGAGCTCTGACTCGTCGGTTCAGCTTCATTTGTATCGAATTCTAATTCCAATTGTTTTAAACTTCCATAAACTTCTTCAATATCCGGTCTTTTATTAGGAACATCATCCCAGCAATCTTGATAAATATTTTGATACTTTGGAGGTGTATGTTCTATTGGCTTTTCTCTATTCTTCGAAAGAAGATGATAGATCAATGCGAATTTATTTTCATAGTTCGGAAACGGGGGACGTCCACTTGTAATTTCCCATAATAGAACTCCTAAACTATATATATCTGACTTTTTATCCTTTTTAAATTTGGAATCCCTATAACATTGTGGATCAATGTATTCGGGCATTCCAAACACATTGGCAATTGAATTAGATGTCATTTCTTCCAAATGCTTAGATATGCCAAAGTCCGCAATTAGTAATATACCATTATTTACTAGTATATTCTTTGAATGCTACAAAATAATTGGTAAATGGAATCATTATTAATTTAATAACAAACATTAGATTAAAATGATTATGATAAGAAATCAACGAAATACCAGGTCTCTATGAACAATATTTTCTTTATGTAAACACATCAATCCGCAGGTAATATCCAATGACATTCGAATTTTATCTTTCCATCCAAATGATTTAAATCTTTCGTCATTTCCTAAATAATCTCTCAAGCTTCCTCCATTGGCATATTCCAATATCATAATATAATATCCATCAGAATCTATTAATGTTAAATAAGAATTTATGTCGAATTTAAGGTAAATTTATTAAAAAATTAATAAGATTAAAAATACAAAACCTTTTGTTATTCCAAGAAATTTATTGATATTCGAATGATAATGAACTTTACGAAGTATTTTACACTAGGACAGATTATTCTCAAAATTTTAAAAAATTACGAACAATATTTATGGAAAAAAAAGGCATTCATACTTCATTGACAAGGTCATCGATTTCATCTTTTTTAGTCATTAGACATTTCAATGCGACTTGAGTTCCTCTGATATCCGCTCTACGCACAAAACCAAATCCTCCTTTACCGATTTCAACAAAATTACTAAATTCACTATATTCAAACTGAGTAATGTCGTCGCCTTTTATCTTTTTTTCGATCCACTCCTTTGATGATGTCATTATAATAAGAATTGTTTATAAAAAAAAATTTATACAAAAATGTATCCTTTATATTGTTGTTGATCGTATTACGAATTTTGTCCAACAGAACATTATTTTATTGTTGTGTAACATTTTGTGAAACTTTTTAAACTTCACCCAGCAGCATTACTGCAAAAAAATTATACATGTATAGAACTTCAATTGACAAATAATAAGGGATTTTTAGTCCGGAGTGTAACGAAGGACTATATAATTCTATGCACGGTGACACAAGATGTCCCGTTGTCCGCCCGCTCAAAAATTGAAGTCTATACATGATTGGTCTTTTTCCTTACACATATGTTCCGGACTTAACAACGGTTTTCGAAACCGTTCCCTAGTAATATTTATTAAGTATTATTTAAAGATTCTAAATACTTTAATTATTTTATTTAGAAATTTGTTGATATTAATATTATGAAAATTATGAATTAAAATAATATAAGTCTACAACTTATTAAAATATTTAATATGATATTTAAAAAATAATATAAAAAAATATTAAGTAAAAAGTAAATCCAAATATCTAATTGGTTTGTTGTTAGCTATAAGATTAACCATTAATTTTATCCCTATTAGATAAGAAATCCTTTAGATCTAAAAACCCTTTTTTTACAAAATCGACTCTTTAAGAGCTACAGAATACTATTCTAAGATATGACTTTTACTCAAATCATTTCTAATTAAATCAAAAGACTATATGGGAGGGTTGCAAGAAAAATGAGACTCTGAGAATTTTTTATTAAAATTTTAATTAAATATTAAAATTTTAAAAAAATGCTTAAAGTTCCATTTTACAAGCAAACCTTCTATATACTTTTAAACCTATTTTAATCCTAATTTTGAATTCAAAAAACTATAAAATATATCAAAAATAGTTTAAAAATATTATAATATAGTAAAAATTATATCAAAAATTATATTAAAATAATGAGAATCATATGAAATCCTAAAAATAAATATATTTTTAACATACAGATAAACTTTAATATAATTAAATTAGCATCTATATTAATCAGACCTTTATTATAAGAAATTCATTATTATTATAATAAATTCTTTAGTATAATATAACAAATTATTTGTATAATAGATAATTACTGAAAAAGGAAAATACAAATATAATTTTACTATGATATAATTAAAGTAAATTTTATAATATAAGTAAAATGACTTAGATGATAATAATGTTGAAGATAGTGAAGATATAATATATAAATGTTAAAGAAAATTATCAAGTAAAATTTGAAAATAAAAGTGAAGATTAGTATTCTACACAGATCGGATCAGATCAGATTTAAGCAAAATCTGATTCAATTTGAATCTGAAAAATCTGAATTCGATTCAATTCAAATCTGACAAATCTGAATTCAAATCCATATCCGTATCTGACAGATCAAAAAATTTTTTTAACAAAAATCTACCTCTGACATTTAGAATAGTGTTTTAATGTTAAAAAAATAACAATTTTGTTATTTTTTAACAAAAATCTGCCTTTGATATTCAAAACAGCATTTTATTATAAAAAAATTAATTTTTTTTATTAATAAATGCTACATTTGAATTTTAGGCAACATTTTATTATTAAAATTAATTTTTTTAATAATAAATACTGCCCCCAGCTTTAAGAATGGCATTTTGTTATTAAAAATTAATAAACAATTAATTTTTTATTAATAAATGTAGCATCTGACTTTTAGGATAACATTTTAATATAAAAAATTAATAAAAATTGATTTTTTATTAATAAATACCACATCTGACTTTTGGGACAGCATTTTAATATAAAATTTAATAAAATTTTTTATTAATGAATGCTACATCTGACTTTCAGGTGGTATTTTAATATAAAAAATTAATAAAAATTAATTTTTTTATTAATAAATGCTACGTTTGACTTTCAGGTGGCATTTTAATATAAAAATTAATAAAAATTAATTTTTTTATTAATAAATGCTGCATCTGACTTTCGGGATAGCATTTTGTTATTAAAATTAATAAAAAATTAATTTTTTATTAATAAATGCTGCCAGTATGATATTTTAATATAAAAATTAATAAAAATTAATTTTTTATTAATAAATGTTGTATCTGATTTTTTGGGTAGCATTTTAATATTAAAAATTAATTCTATTAATAATAAATGACATGTTAATTTTTGAGATGATATTTTAATATAAAAAATTAATAAATTTTAATTTTTTTAATAATAATTATCGCTTCTGACTTTTGGAACAGCATTTTGTTATTAAAATTAATAAAAAATTAATTTTTATTAATAAATGCTGCGTCTGACTTTCAGTATAATATTTTAATATAAAAATTAATTTTATTAGTAATAAATGTCATGTTAATCTTTAAGACGACATTTTAATATAAAAAATTAATAAATTTTAATTTTTTTAATAATAATTATCGCTTCTGAATTTTAGAACAGCATTTTGTTATTAAAAATTAATTTTTATTAATTTTTTATTAATAAATGCCACATTTAACTTTCAGGCAGCATTTTTTATTTCAAATCTAACAAATTAGATCTGAATCTAAATTTGGATCTGACAGATCAAATCTGAATCCAAATTTAAATCCATCATATTAAATTAAATCCAAATCTGAATCTGATCCAGATCTGATGGATTGAATCAAATAAAAATTTAGATCTAAATCTGATTCGAATCTAATAAATCTGATTTGATCCGATCTATCAGATCCAGATCAGATTTGGATTGAATCAGATTTTTGCAAAACACTATTAAATTTTATTAAATTTTAATTCACTATATAGGAAGTGGTCAGTAAAAAAGGGAGAAATCAAATTTTAGTCAAAATTTATATTATTAAACTACTTGGCTGATCTCGATCATATACACAAATTTAGCTCAATAATAAAATCAACAAAAATTTTGGATTTTCTCTTTTTCTACTGATCACCTTTTATATCACATGCATATTTTTAGATACGTTAATTAAAATAATACTATAATTTACAAGAACGAATTTTAAAAAAATAATACTCTTTTTTTCACTTTTTGCATTATTCTTTTAATAATAATATTACATTTCTTCTCTTTTTATTGTTCTCTTTTTTCTCTTTTTTTATCTAATATGAATGCTAGATAATAGGTATTGTATTCGTATTATTTAATATAAAAAAGCTTATCTTTAAATTTTATATAAATATAATTTTGGTTTTAACAGTCTCAAAAATCAAAAAACAAAATAAAGTACTTTCATTACAAATCTATAAATCTATAAAAATTATTATAACTTTAAAATGCCTTTCATTAATAAATATCCTTATTTCAAATAATTCAGACAAAACAAATGAATTTTTTAATAATTTATGATGAATATATCATGATACTTGAATATATAAAATGTAACATAAATCACATAGATAAATATGAATACAATCATATATTTAACTTAATGATATTAGTATTTTTTGAAGAATATAATAACAATGCCAAAAATATAAACATAAAATTTAATTTTTATATTATTTAATTGAGTAATGATACCCAATTTATATTAAATATCAGCTGGAGACTCAAAGTTACAAAAAATATTTTTATTTTATTTTATTTTTATTTCATATTTTTATATATATATATATATTATATTTAATTAAGTAGTAAGACCCAATTTATACCAAATATCAGCTAAAGACTCAAGTTTTTAAAATTCAATTTTTTTATTTTATATAATTAATTAAATAATGTAATCCAGTACATACTGTTAACATGTAATCTTGCGAACTACAACTGTTAGACAGAGTGTCAGAGTGTTATTTCTTTTTAATTGCACAGTAATCTTAAGGTTTTTACAAGTTGATTATTATGACTAATTCAAGTAAAGGTTTCAAGTTAAGGTTTATACGAGTATTTTACGATCAACAATTCACGAAGTATCGAGTAATTATATTTTCAAGTAAGATGTTTATTGATAAGAATAGAAATAGAAATAAAG